CTGGAAGCGCGTCCTCCACAGAAGCTGCGGTAGATGTTGTGGGACGTGAAGCAAGGATTCTAAGCGAGGCGATGGCCGAGAAGTTGCTTAGCTATCCGGATCCGCCCACGCGGGAAGCTCTCGACAAGGTTGTGCAGGCTGCTCTGCAACAGGGGAACCGGGCACATCGACGTGTAGACAAGGAGAGTAAAACACGAGGGTGTAAATCTCTTACCTGTGGATTTTGGGCTTATGGAGGTTCTGTAGGCTTGAGTAGAGACGCCATGCAACATCCGAACTTGACCCGTCTTGTGAACTGGTACCTAGCCGAGCAGTATCCCGACAAATCCTGGGCTGCAATCCGAATTACCCTTAACAACCAGTCGAGTCCACACAAAGACCATCACAATCAACCTGGTACGAGTAACTTATGCGTCCCACTCACCACTCACAGTGGAGGTCGTGTGTGGGTGGAAGGAGAAGGCGAGGAGGAAATACAGGTTGGGTCTAGGAGGGTTAAAGGGTCATTTCTCGGAGACTCGAATTCTGTGGTAGAGTTCGATCCGCGGAAGCTGCACTTTACGGAACGGGCCTTAGGAGATAGAAGGGTGCTCATAGCGTATACTCCCAGATCGCTTGAAAAGGTGGCTCCTGTAGACAGAACGTTGCTGCAGTCGCTAGGCTTTCCTCTCCCTATTGACCAAGCCCCAGATCCGCGTCCTCCCTATACGAAGGCCCTCTACTACTCTATACAGGACCCAGACGAGTGTCAGAGCCCAGCAGGTTTTGTCGACGTCTCCGATAGTTCGGGGGATGAGGCAGTGGCCGCCCTGTGTGCGGTTGAGGGGTCGTGGGAGCAGATAGATAGTGAGGGTTACGAGGGTTGGATAGCAGCTGCTAAGCGACACGTAGCACAAGAGCAGAAGCACATGTGTGACGAGATGCAAGCTGGCAACGACGATGCGGCGACAATTACTGCCGAGTGTATCTCAGCGCTGTACTCTGAGATTCGGAAGGCGGAGGCGACAGTCGAGTGGTTGCGTGCCCAGAGTTTGAAAGCGTGTGGCTCGGGCGATGAGGCCCAGTTGAGGGTGTTGCTTGCGCGTGAGTCGTTGGTTGAAGACGAAGCTCAGTTGGTCGATGAGGCTGCTTGGACTCCGTTGGCCGATGATCCAGTAGAAGATCGGTGTGACCCTCATTTAAGTCCTCAGGATTATGAGCTCCTGAATGGGGACGGGCGTGTGGTGAGGCCAGATCAGGGTCCACAGTCATGGCAGGCTGAGCCGGCTGGACCGCTTCACACACAGACCATCAGCCACGCTGAGATCAACAAGGATCCTAGGAAGTGGGACTCCACGGTTGGTGAGGAACTGGGCTCGATCTTCGATGTACACAAAACGCTCAAGAGAATAGACGACGACGAGGTCGAGAGACTTCGTGAGGCCGGTTATGTTATTGAATGGGTTCCGACCAAGGGGATCTTTCAGATTAAAGCTCATACGGCAAGACAAAAGTGCCGCTTAGTGGCATGTGGCAATTACGCCAGTGACGCAGGCTCGAAGGATCGGTCTCACAAGCAAGCGCTCTATGCTGGAGGCCTTGACTCCCTGGCATTGCGATGCCAGCTCAGACATGCGGGCCTCAAAGTCTCCCAGAATCACGACAAGCCAAAAGCGGACCAGTGGACCGCCGCAGGCTCTGACATCAAAACGGCGTTTTTAAATGCACCGTTGGATCTCGGTGACAAACGTGTCATTCTACTCAGACCGCCAGCCGTTATGGTGCGGAACGGCTGGGTATCGCCTAACGAAGTCTGGCGCGCCGATGGCGCTATCTATGGTTTGATTCAGAGTCCGTCCGCTTGGTCTCACCACAGGGACAGCAGAGTCCCACGCTTAAAGGTCCAGCTTGGTGATCAGGGTTTTCGGCTAGTCCAATCAAGATCGGATCCTAACATCTGGTTGCTGCGGAAGAGTTTGCCTGATGGCACACTGGGACAGGACATTGAAGCCGTTGTAGGCATATATGTCGACGACCTTCTCGTCACCGGACCCAGATGTAAGGTTGATGCGGTGCTGGATGCTTTCCGGGCGGAGTGGCAGCTGAGCACTCCAGCTTATGCTACTGATGCGGGTGGCATCAACTTCTGCGGCATGCACATCAGTCAAGCTGACGACGCGATCTATGTTGATCAGACCCAGTATGTGGGAGAGCTTTTGGCTCGATACCCGGATGTTGAAGGAACGCTTCATACGCCTTTCCTGAAAGACCACTCGGGGGAGGAACCGTGCAGCAAGGTAGATCCGGCTCGCCTCAGGCTTGGACAGAAAGTAGTAGGGGAGCTTCTCTGGCTCTCAGCCAGAACACGCCCCGATTTATCATTCGTCGTGAGTCGGCTGGGGCAGCTCGTTTCTAAGGATGCTGAGTTCACCATTGCAGCTTCTCACAATGTGTTGCGGTATCTTAGGCACACGAGCCACTACCGGCTGAAGTACGGTGACGCAGGGTCCGGGGGAGAATTGCCTGAAGGGTGGCAAGAAGGCTCCCGCGGTTTGCTTGAAGTTTTTGCGGATGCATCCTTCTGCCCGGGGTCCGAAAGGTCCCAGAGCGGCATAGTGTTGCTTTGGGGGAGGGCTCCAGTCGCATGGTGCTCGATGAGACAAAGCACCGCGTCTCTCTCAACGTGTGAGGCGGAGCTCGGTGCGACGCTGGATGCTATGACGCTAGGTAACTGCTTGATGCCCTTGCTGAACGAACTTTCCCAAACCTCTCAACAGGCCGTAGTTTATAATGATAACGTCGGTGCTTGTACAGTCATGCAAGTCCCGGCAGGGGCGTGGCGAACACGCCACCTGAGGTTGAAGGCACAGTGGTTTATGCAGCAGCTTGAGTTCGCTAAGTACACGGTGTATCATGTTCCGGGAAAGTGGATGTTGGCTGACCTCGCTACCAAGGCGTTGCAAGCTAGTCGTTGCCTTGAGTTGCTTCGACTCATGCGTTTGGACTTAGGCGAAGAGCCGTGTGTGAGTGCTCTTCGGGGGGAGTCGGGCCCTTCAAACGACGAAAATATGAGTCATGGCAAGCGTGAGCGTGGTTGCAATCAGTTGCGTGACTTTGGTCGTGCCCAGTTGCTGGAGCGTGGTCGTCGTGAGAGCAGCGCGTGTAGCAGTCTCGGGTCGCTTGAGCGTGCTTGTCTTGAGCCTAGCGGAGTAGCGTCGAGCGTTGGAGCGACGGCTGCAGGACCTGCAAGCGCTGCCACCTTGATATCCCTCTCCTCGTCATCTGTAGGGGTTGAGGACAGTTGGTTGCGTAAAGCGTTGTGCTTGCTTGTTTTGGCATCGCGAATTTGGGCCGCGCGAGCTCGCGAAGTAGTCACGACTGTCGGCTTGGACGAAAGTGGTGAGGAGGCTAAGCTTCCGAGGAACCACGTTGTGGGCATGCTTGTGACCGTGCTTGTGGTTGTCGCCGTGCTTGCGTTGGTATCTTGGTGTTGCCGTGGTGAGCCCAGGGATCCAAGTGAACCACAGGTGAGGGCAGCTGCTTCACTCGATGAGGTTCAGAGTGAGTGGTCTCTGATAGAGCCGTCTCCTTCGAGAGGTGGGCAGAGTAGGATAATCATAAATCCTGATTCCTTAACCCTTCATGGTTGCAGTAGTGTCCCAAGCTTTGTACCCCCTGCAGGTCTGCGGCAAAGAATCCCTAAGGTTGCTAGCCGTCCCGGCGCCTCTGATGACCCTAGTACGGTTCCCCTCCCTATGCCTAATTTAGGTTGTGCGGAAGGGAGGAGGATTGCAGACGGAGGAGGACTGCAGCTCGAAGAGTCAGCAGAGGCACGAGCTGGAGTCAGACATCTTCGGGAACTTCTGGCAGAGTGTAAAGTTACCATGTATGCGGACGATCTCCACATTACTGGTCCGAGGGCTGTCATCGAAGCGATTGTTGAGCGCTTCAATCGTGAATCTGGCGACCTGGCAGCTGCAGGCCTAACTGATGCGAGACTTCTGCAGACATTTGACCAGAAGGCGGAGTCCTCACGAGAATCTGGTGCGAGAACGGAGGCCGCTCTTCTCGGTCGTACAGTTGAGACATTCTTGCATGATGTGCAATCATTTGACCAGAGGGCGGAGTCCTCACGAGACTCTGGTGCGAGAACGGAGGCCGCTCCTCTCGGTCGTGTCATCGAGGCAGTATTGCACGCTCCTGAGGTTCGGAATGTTACAGACGCATCATGGCCTGATGAGGTTCTTGATCCAGGCGATGAGAGTGCAGAATGGTTCGGCAGTGTAGCGAGCTCAAGCCCAGCGTCATCGGAGAGAGAGAAAGCGCTACCGCCGTACCAGTTTGCGCAGAGGTGAATGAGCCAGCAACCGAGTCACAAGATAGATGAGCTATTGGCTGCAAGGAACGCGCAGAGTTGAAACTGCTGTGGCGCATAGACGTAGGCATCTGAATTTTGACAGCCCCGGAGTAACCCGTTTGGCTGAGTACAGCGGATGCGGAGGCATAGACGCTTCGATTTGTGCGTATGTGCAGTTCAGCTCACCTGACGGTCTGATGATCTGATGGCCTTGAGTCTTACTGAACATCGTTTGAAATCGATGGCCTTGAATCTCTTCACAGTTTTCCGGAGGTGTAAAGGTGCAGTGGCCGAGGGCTCTGTGAAGTCCCTGCATGGAGTGCAGGGAGGGGGAGTGTGAAGGCGTTCCTCTGCCCACTTTTACAGTCGGCCTTACGGCACAGGCTTACGGAATCGAGAAGTGTACCAAGTTCGTTCGTGAGGCCATTTTTGTGCGATCAAAGAAGTCTTGCAGCTTCACAAGGGTATATACCTGGGATTTATTGAAACGGAGAGAGGGGCAGAGAGGAGGGTTTAGGGCCCCACTCAAACTGGACTCAAGTCTAGCACCACGTGGGTCGTTGTCAAGATTATGGTCCCTTTTTGGGTACTCTAAATATTAGGTGCCGTATTATAATAAGAACCCAAAAGGGGCCCCTAATTTTGACAGCCCTCCACCGCACACCTGTCGATCTTGTGTCCAAGGCAGGTCTGAAACCTCCTCGGCATCAGATTTTGGCTTCCGATTTGCGTTTCCCGGTCAGAGAGCCCAAAACAAGAAAGAGCAAAAAGGGTACTACTGGGGAACCCAGTTCCGTGTTCTGGCTCCCCGAGCCTTGGGATTAGGGTTTAGTTTTTAGGTGTAGGGACACTCAACCCGGAATCGTTCAACACGTAAGCCAAAAGCCTGTACCCCAAAACCTCGGATACCTATCGGAATCTCGGAATGAAACCCTCTCTCGAAGGTAACAGGACACTAAAGGAGTCGTCCGAACTTTGTCGGCTAGTTTCCCAAATACGGTATAGCATTCCGGAATGGATGCCCTTGCAGAACGGATGCCAGTCTTTGTGGGGGCTGCATCCAGGTTCCCGATTTTCTGAAACCGGTCCCATCTAGGGTTCAGCAGATGATATGGTCAGCAAGCTGAAGCTGTGGTTCTGGGCCCAGTCCAAGTAATTAAAATTAATGAAACTCAAACCTTTTCGCGCTTGAGGATTTAGCGCGCGGGTTTGCGATCTAAGACCCTCTTTGCAGCAGGCCTCGTTGTCCATCCAGCAGCCCGGTTACAGCATGAGCCCCCCTTTCCCCCGCTTCTTCAAAGCAACGAGGAAAAGCCTAAACCCTGAAGCCTACACCCAAGAACCCTGAAATCCTCAAGCCGGAAATGGGAGTTTCGAAAATAGGAGACCCTAGTACAATACCCTAAATTGTAGGATCCTTATTCCAAGGACCCTGAACTAAAGCCTTTACCGTTGCCTGAGGGGGGTGCAAGGGGCCGGCGGGGAGCACTCGCCTAAACCGCAGAGCCTGAGCTCCTTGCGTCAGTGCGCTCCCGAAGAAGAAGAAGCCGGCCTGGCAAAAGCCGTGGCCTCTACACAGAAGCGTAAGGCTATATGGAAGTTTCAGAAAATAGGGGACCCTGATATAGTACCCTAAATAGTAGGATCCTGAATATAAGGACTCCCGAAATAGGCTACCCCGAAACTTCGGAAAAGGCTATATGGGTGGTTCCCCGAATTTTCGGTCGCTTGTTACTCACATCCCCAAAGTTCTCAGGCACCCCTCTAAAAGCGAGCTGAAAAGGTACCTTAATTTAGAGAGCCACCTGAGCCACCCATACGGGGTCTTCACAAGGGTCTGTACAGAGCTTGATAAGGCTTTTTATCCGGGCCTGGATGATGAGACTACGAGAGGCTTTGGGGAGCGTTGAGGCTATAGATGCACTCTCAGAGCCCCTCTTTCGGAAACCCGGGCCAAATGAGCTCGTGCGACTTCGAGTGCAGATCAATTCGAATGCGAGGGGGTCTAGAGTCTAGGGTTTTGGGGGCAGGATAGTAGAGACCCCAACCCGAAAGAGAGATGACGACAAATCTGAAGCCGGCAACCCAGCCCGAAACTCTCAAGCCTGAAGCCATGAAGCCCTACAGCGGCGAATGACTCGAGAAGATTTTAAGCCAAGCCTGAAACACCAACTAACCAACCCTATCAGCCCGGCACCCACAAAACCCTCCAAAGACAACAGACGTGACACCTTCATCACCCTGCCAGGCCTTTGACAGCATACTGGCATTCTGAGCCTCCGAAGCAGTGGAGGTTGCCGGTTTCGTCACCCTAAATTACCCTTTTCAGCATGGGCTTGGATTGTGTGCCAGCGAACACTCCTCAACAGCAGGGCCTTCTCGTTTGACGAGGGATGCAAACGCGGGAGTCACCCTAAACCTTAAACCTGCAACTCTCAGCGACTGGCTTGCGAGCCAAAGGTTGGATGAGTTCTCGGTACGAAACGAAGAAAGTTACCACCGCACGGACACATAACATAATAAACAGCGTCTTTCATGAGTATGGTAACTGTTTTAGCACTCGTACTCGACTCAGCAGGCGAGGTTTTGGGAGAATCTACGGTGGATGATATAAATCCTGCATTACCCATAACAAGGAATATACCGTAATTCCCATGGTTTAGAGTCCTTAAGATAATGCCGGATTTATATCATCAACAGTAGTATGGTAACCTGCACCAAGCTCTTCTACTAGACCCAGCCATCAGATCGGCATGTTCACGATTTGTGACCTGACGGCCTTGTGGGAGTTTCCGGTCATTGGGGACCCTCTACATAGTAGGACCCCCATTATAAGGAAACCCAAAATAAGGTACCCCAAATTTTCGGAAACTCCCATTTGTAGCCTGACGGCCGTGTGCAAAGATCGGAGATCCTGGCCTTATCCGATATCACCTGCGGGTCTTCGGAATCCACCTCGGGAACCAAGACCAGTTCATGCTTGGGGTCGTAATAAAATTTCATCTTTTTGTCCTTATAAGTGCCTCTAAAAATGTAAAATACTACCCAACTATGACAGAGAAGAGACCTGAAGCCTGTTGAAATGGGGGTTGCTGGCTGCCAGAACACGACCCAGAAACCTCAACCCTACGCCCGGCGCCCTGAACCCAAAACTGTTTGCTGCTTGGGGCGTTCGGTTGTGGAGTCCGTACAAGAACGAGAACCAATCCAGGTTGAGTTCTGTTTGCCTCCAACATCACGCCTTCGTATATCTTGACTCGTATCTTTACTGCTGCTGCACATCCGACGGCAGTTTTCAATAGCAGCTACATCCAGCGACTATTGGTTAATTGCGGGGCGACTATTGGTTAAATGGGGGTGCTAGTCATATGTTACCTTGTACTGTGTCAGATACTGTGCTATTGTGGGCCTGGCACCAGTCGCACTACTTTCACTGCCACATTGCCATGGTTCAAGCAATGGCGCCACTCCGTCCTAATACTATAGGGGTCGCAATTCACGGTTGTTGTTTGCTCTTTGCAGGTTGTTGTTGTTGTTGCTGTACGTGAATGCGATAGCTGATATTTTTTCTGTTGCGGCCGTTGCTGCTGCTGCAGCTGATGAGGCTACCGTTCTAGTTGTCGTCCGGTGTTGCATTCCTGCAGGTTGGCGGTGGCGGCGGTGGTGGTCGTGGCGGCGGCGGTGACAGTGGCGGGGGTTCCGGTCTACGGGGCCTGTCGTTGGAATCGCTGTGCTGATGCGGCATACACTTGTTCCCTAGCTGGCATTGTTGCTTTTCTCACTGGACATGTTCTGTCGAATTAGAGTACGTATCGTGTGCGGTTGATACTGCCCCTCGATATCTTCGTCTTCGTCGTGAAAGTGGCTACTGCTGTTGTTGTTGCTGTTGTCGACACTGATGCTGTTGTTGGCTTCGCTGGCAATGCTTCATGATGCCTCCAAAGTTGCTGAAAGCCCCTCATCAAACTCAGCCCTACGCCTTCTAGACGCTTTCCATTCAACCAGAAGCCCCTGCAATGGCCTCAGCCTTCAACCGTAAGCTGCCCCTAAGGCATCCTAAAGCCCAACCTTAACCACAAAGCTTTGCCCTGAAGACTTGCAGAGATTTGCCAGCCCAGGGGCGCAATACCAGTTCCTTTCCAGCTTCGTTCCATCACTGCCCTGAGGTGATTTGGGGTCTGACACGGGCTCTAATATGGGTCTTGCTGATCGCTTTATGAAGGCTTCTTAAAATGAAGATTCGGGGTATCTTGCGTATCCATTATAATAAGGATCGTATTGTATGGAATCCTGCATTTTCTGGAACACCTTTTTGAAGTCCAGGGGGCATGCAAACCACCCTAAACCCTAAACTCTACACATGGGTGGTTGTCAAAATTATGGTCCCTTTTGGGATACCCTAAATATTAGCTGCCGCAGTATAATGAGGACCCAATAAGGGACCCTAATTTTGACAACCACCCTGACATGGAAGAAGGGGAAAACAGAACCAGGCTGACTATGAAAAGGCATCTTATTTCGGCCCCTGGGCTGCAGAACATAACGGAAGATAGGGGACCCCAAAATAGCACCCTAAATAGTAGGATCCTTATTATAAGGACCCCCAAAAAAGGTGCCCCTAATTTTCTGAAGCTGCCACCAGACTAGCCGAGGGGCGGCTGCAGCACACAGGTAGATGAACTTCTGGCCATCGGTGCGCTGAAACAGGGACTCCACGCCATATTCCACAAACTCCTTTCCTGCAGCGCTCAGCAGCTGCACCTACTGTACCTGCCCAGAGACTCCAATATCCCTTAATTAAGGAATATTCCTTAAATTATAGTAGGATCCCTTATATGATTTAAGGAATATTCCCTAATTAAGGGGTATTGGAGTCTCTGGGTTTAGGCCTTCCTGCCCTGGTGCTTCCTGCGCAGGCTACTGCTACTGCTACTTCCATCACCACATACGACTACTATCGACTACTACTTCCACTTCTGCTTCTACTTGCACCTCTACTTGCAGTTCTACTTCTACTTCCTACTTCCACTTCTACTTCTACTTCTGCTGCTGCTGCTACCACGACTCCTACTACTGCTACTGCTACTGCTACTGCTACTGCTACTGCTGCTACTACTACTACTACTACTACTCCTACTCCTACTCCTACTCCTACTCCTACTCCTACTCCTACTCCTACTCCTACTCCTACTCCTACTCCTACTCCTACTCCTCCTACTACTACTACAACCACAACAACAACTACTACTACTACTACTACTACTACTACTACTACTACTAAAGCTGATGAAGATAGCGGTCATAGCTTGTGCTTGTGTGTTTCAAGCTGAGAACTTGTTGTGTTTTGATTTTGTGGGGCTGGCCGGCTTTGAAAATGCACTGCTATCTTGTTCCAATTAATTACTGCTACGGCGCTACGGAACTCCTCCAGCCCAGGCGCTACGGCTAAAAGGTCTAACTCCTAAATCTCGAGTCCCCAGAGAGTCCAACTTAAACAGTATGGGCATCATATTATGATTTAAGCCCTATTCCTTTATTCAGGGTATTGGGCTCTCTGAGTCTCTACTAAGCCAATTCAACCGAGGCACCGATGTATCGATATTCGCCTTCGCACATCTCAATGATCTTGGACATGCCGTTCTGCGTAGCATACCTAAGGTTCTT